GGGAGTCGGCGCGCTAGCAGATTGCGGGGCCGGCCCGCCAGGCTGGCCCCGCCGACCTGCCCCGGCAGAACTGGTCAGCAGGTCCCCGGCGCCCCGCCTGGGTTCTGGCACGTTGACGAGGCGCGTCGCAGGCACGGGTGGATCACGGCTTCGACGTCATCCGCGCCGCTGACTTCGAGGGCGCCGTCAGATCGCTGGCCGATCGCACATTCCCCAGCACCGACTACAGCATGCTGTGGACCACGTGCGATACATGCAGGAATGAGGTTCACCGTGTCCTCGATTCCTTTCCCGACTGGTGCGCCGGGGTCGAGGGCGCAGGCGCCGGGGTCCTGGTCCTCGGCAGGCGCGGGTCTTAGTCGGGACACGGGGCCGCGACCTCGGCTGGCAGCGGTTTCAATGGTCCGCGGCTGGGTCTTACTGGGGGCGCGGGTCTTAATTGAGGTGCGCCATGCACTTCAGGGATCTGGCCACATGCCGATACCCTCTCCGTGCCCCTATCCATTAAGAGTGCCCAGGCTGCCGCTAGGAGAGGAACTCGACCGCCCTGCGTACGCTCGCGAGTTCAGCAAGCGCTGGTTCGCGGACCCCTGCACGCGGTCGCGCTCGCGCGCAGGCCAACGCCCGCGAGCGCCAGCGCGACCTGGAGGACCGCGTCACTCTAGCAAACAGCAGGCTCAAGTACCTGGTGGAGCCGATCTGGGAGCTGCAGGCGAAGCAGTTCTGCTACCAACGCCCGCAGGTGCATCAGGAGCCAGCTCATCGCCTGTCGCTGGGGTTCTTCAGGGTGGCCTTTCCAGCAATTTTGTTGCTGGGCCGCAGATCGCCGCTCAGACGCGGCATGGCCCAGACATCCTCGGAGCTCTGCGCCGCGCATCGCGCAGATGTTTTCATCTGCCAGACGTTCGTGACTTGCGTCTGCAAGGCGGCCACGGATCTGTGGGCGATTCGCCGGGCTACACCCGCGGCCTAGTCGTATGGTGGACAGAGTCCAGGCGACACCCACCGGATTTACATCCACGGCTTTGAGTTCGACGCCCATATCTGCATTGACGAGCAGTGGAAGGAAGCTTGCATCATCCAGTTCATTTCGGGCGACGAGACGCTTATGGCAGCAGGCGCGGGACAAGATGTAGATGGGGCGCTCGATGGGTATGTGCCACCGACGCTCTAGAAGACGCCGCCAGCACCACTGAGGGGGGATCCTCACTGTCGGCTATGCCAGAGGAGATCGGCAGCGGCATCTCCAGCCAAATCCAGCAGGTGATGTTGGCAGCTCCGCGCGAAGTCGAAGGGGCAGCAGATCTGGCCCAGGAGCTGGATGGGGCTGGAGAGCGACGACAGCCGGCATATGCTCTGCGCTGCTGTCGAGCGCGCCACGGCCGGACTGGGCCGCCAGCCTCGCCAGCGGCCCTGGCGCCTCGAGACGCGGCGCCAGCGCCGGGGCATCTACGCGCAGTGCCGGTGCTATTTGCGCGGGGCCACCCTTGGCGGTTTCGCCGCATTGGATGAGGGGGGCGAGCTAGAAAGACGCGTGGAGTTGTGCCTGGACCTAGTGGTGCACGAAGTACTCCCGAGCTTGAACGAGGCAGCGTCTGGCAACGATGTTGCTGGCGAGTCCCGGACAGCCGCGCTCGACGCGCGCGCCGCCGTCAAGACCGCGGTCATCGATCGCGGCGCAGATCTCCCAACCAAGGAGGAAGTGCCCAGGCGGTCGAAGGAAGTGGCAGAGCCAGTCCCGGAGGAGCTCACTATCTGGGCGAAGTGCAAGCGTTTCGAAGAGCGACCGCTCGAGGGCGCCCAGAACGTCATGGGCCCCAGGCGCGTCTTCAAGTGGAAGCATCAGAACGGGCCCGACGGCATGGCCGCAAGGATCATCGGGCGCCACGCGGCTCTCCGAGGATTCCGTGACATGGGCGCCGGTGCCCTGGATATGTTCGAGGGCAGCAAAGCGCGGCATGCCGGCTTCCGGGGCGGCTCGTTTCCCAGACTCGCTGTGGACGTCGTGGAAGCTTTCCTGGAAGGCATGACTTACGCTGAGATTCAGGAGCAAGGTGAAGCACCGCGCGAGGTGAACTTCACCCTGCCATACCCGGCAGGCGTCCAGCTACGAGTCCCTCGACGAGCAGACCGAGTGCCTGCGCTGCGTCGAGCCAGGCACGGGCTGCGCCAACGTGCCCCGAGCCTCCTCCACGACGCTCGCTCGGGTCACGCGCTCGCCCGAGCGCGGCGCCAAACCTACCCGGCGGGGCCCCGAGCGCGAGGTCAAGCGCGAGGCGTCTGGCGATTGTGTTGCCGGCGACTCGAAGCTCGCGCCCACGTTGCCCAAAAGCGTTGGCGACCTGAAGATCGCTGGGCGCAAGGATCACGTGGATCGGCATAGCGGGCACATCGAGAGCGTCGTCGGCAAGATGATGGGCGACCGCGACCATTTCGCCGACTGCGGGGCCGACGTCGCCGTGGCGCTCGACCAGGACGAGTACATCGACTCCCTTATGCCGATCAGGCGCGTCGACATGTTCGAGGCGAAGGCGGGCGAGCCAACTGGAGGTCAGCTCAGGGTCTCCTCGCTGGGGGCAGCGGCTCGCGCCCTGTCCGCGCAGCGCCGCGTCGCCGCGTGCGTCGTCGCACTGCAGTTGGGCGAGAACAAGTCGCTCATGCGCCGCGCGATGCAGCCCAATGCCGTGATTTTGGCCACGCAGAAGATCAAGGCGCGCATCGCCTGTCCCTCCACTGAATGCGCTGGCCAATTCTGCGCGCGCGGCGACGGGTCCTTCAAGGGGGGAGGAGGGGGCCCGCTGCGGCGTGCGAGGCGCCGTCTACGCGCGCTTGGGCAAGTGCCGCGACGCCGGCATGGAGGTCTGCCACGTGCTCGACGCTGTGAGCTGCTCGCGCAAACTTGTGTACAGGTTTTCGTCTGGCCCCGAGAAGCTCGCGGCCTGCGGGGCAGCCGGTGGATTGCAAGCCCGCCTCCTGACGCTCCACGAGGTGATCCGTGGGCCACCTCAGCCGATGAAATCATGATGCTGAGAGAGGAGGGCGGCTGCGTTATTCTATCCACTCTCGTCGTAGACGGCATGTCCGTCTTCGCGGCATTCGCCATGGATCCTGTTCGACCGCCTTCGTGGAACGGCAAGGCAGGCCTCCCGTGGAGGTTAACGGACCAGATCCGCACCAATAATATCGTAGACATGCTTGGGTGCGATGCGCGAGACATGAGGGCCTACCCCATGATGAAGGCGGGCATCGGCCGCGAACTCATCTTCGACATCATGGACGGGGGGATCAGCTATGACCACGACACCGTCATGCAGAGCGTGGAGAGCCACAAGAAGGCTGTGCCCAGTTCCCGTCATCACAGTTTCACTGAGGACGTGGGCGACTCGAACGGCTAAGCCACCGTGTCGTCCACCATCAAGCCAGTTTGTTTACAATCAACTGTTGTCTGTGCTTGCATGACTATGTCGTCTGGCAGAGAGGGATGCAGAAACCCGCAGCTCGCGAACCAGACTCGCGAATGTGGCATCGCAAAGAGAGCGAGCGAGTGGACTCTGTCCACGGAGTTTCTTCGAGGATCAGCAGGCTGTCTTAGTTGAGCACGCACGCGAGTGAATGTGGTGTTCGAGCTTCCTATTAGAGACGTGGGTGGTGGAACGCCCTCTAGTACTAGCTTGCCGTTGGTTGGCATATGGCTTGCATGTGATGACTGACCAGGCACACCTGACTCGTTTGGACACCAGGCTCGAACGGTAGCCTTGTTTAATCTTGCCTTGGTTTGATATCTTACTTGTCGCATTTCCCCGCCGCTGTTTTGGCTCCTGGGCGCGGTGGGGTGGCCATCGTCCGTGCCTGGTTGACACGCGACGGGACATGTCCGTTTGCATTCCACTTGATAGAAGCATGTGATGCCTCCTTGCATGTCCATTGTTATTTGCCTTCGCCGTAGGGACCACCTGGGACTTGGGAGTGGCTCGAATTTCCGGGCCGCGTTTTAGATTCACGTCGGGGCGCCCGTTCGTGGCCGAGGCCCGCGGTGGGTAGGCAAGCCCCCTCGTTTCTTGTTCTGCGCTCCGTGTGGTAGTTCGATATTTAGCCCCCCTGGCTCAAGCGCAATCTCGCGGCTGAGTGATCCGAAGCGGATTACAGTTACCCTACATCTTCGGGACGGCATACCTCACGCGACCCGAGCACTCATGATGTTTCATTCCACATCAAACGGCGATCTCCATCGTCCTATCCTGTTGGCTGTCCTCGCGCTGTTGTGTGCAGCCGCGTTTTTCCCTGGGTTCGCAGCAGCAGCGTTGTTGCGGGCCGCGCCTTACTTGCCCGACGGCTCGAACGCCACCGAAGAGTTCGGCCTGCTGGCGCTCCTCGTCGCCTGCGAGGTTTGCCGCGTCACATTCTTCGCGACCCCCAAGGCGACGGGCCAATTCTCCACCACCCCTACCAGAGGCAGGACGGAGGAGAAGGGACGATGAGGAGGTCCTCCTTCCCGTTCTCCTCCTCCTCCTCCTCCTCCTCCTCCTCCTCCTCCGCCTCCTCCTCCTCCTCCGCCTCCTCCTCCTCCTCCTCCGTATCCCCCTCCTCCTGCTGCTGCTCCTCCTCCTCCTCCTCCTCCTTCTCCTCCTCCTCCTCCTCCTCCACCTCCTCCCTCCTCGTCCTCCTCCTTCTCATCCCTCTCCTCCCTTTCCTCCTCCTCCTCCTCCTCCTCTTCCTCCTCCTTCTCCTCCCTCCTCCTCCTCCTCCTCCTCCTCCTCCCTCCTCCTCCTCCTCTTCCTCCTCCTCCTCCTCCTCCTCTTCCTCCTCCTCCTCCTCCTCCTCTTCCTCCTCCCCCATATGCGGGAAGGTGTGCCAGCGCAGTTTCAAGCTGTGTTGGTACGCCGAGGCATTTGATCGCCCCGTTCTTTTCCCTGCACGCCTCCCGTGCTCAACCAAATAGTTCCTCCTCCTCTCCCCTCTCCTACCTCTGGTAGTGGTGGTCAAAATCGGCCCATCACGAGAAGCAAGCCTCCAAAAAGGACAAGGCCGCGTCGGCGGGGTCAACGGCCACGCGCGCACCCCAGCGCCAGCAGGCGGCCGCGAGGGGTTCCGTGCGAGATGCCCTTGCGCGGGTGCGCGAGGGGGAGCTCGCCGAGGCCGAGGCGATGATGGAGCGCCTCGGCGAGCAGCAGAGGATCGGCGGCGAGCTCGGGGGGGGAAGTGAGAAGGAGGAGGCCTTCTCAGGACGCGGCGGGACTTCTCCGAAGCCCTCGCGCCTTCTGAGAGGTTCGCTGCGTCTTTGGGGAAGGCTTCGACAACTTCTCAGAAGGCGCGAGGGCTTCGGAGAAGTCCCGCCGCGTTCTGAGAGGGCCTCCGCCTTCTCACTTCCCCCCCGGGCTCGCCGCCGAGAGGAGCGAGGAGCCCGCCGCCGCGTGCTGCCGCTCGCTCATCCTGGCGCTCACAAAGGATCGTGGGCCTGATCTCCACCACGGCCGCTGCAGACCGTGGGCGGCTGACCCATGGCAGGTGATCTGCTGGGCGCGGTGGGCGCCTCGCACAGCAAGGCACTGCCACTGCTCAGCCGCCCCTCATCTGCAGCGGCGGTCGTGAAGAGCAGGCTTGCCACAGGAGGGCGAGTTCGAGCGCGCCGGGAGGTGGCTGAGGGAGCTCACGCGGGCGCACCATCGTGCGGGTGCGACGGCGCGCTTCGCCAGCACCATCGTTTCCGCGAGGGCCAGGCACGGCGACGCAGAAGGCGCGGAGGCCTGGCTGGAGGGGATGATGGCGGACGGCGTCGAGCTCGACGAGACCGCCTGCAACGCCCTGATTTACGCGTTCGCCACCGAGGCCAACGTGAGCCGTGCGGAGGGCTGGCTGCGCCGCATGCGCGCCAAGGGCATGGCGCCAGACCTGACGAGCTACAGTTCCGTGCTGCACGCGTGCGCCAGGGCGGGGGACGTGGACCACGCGGAGGCCTGGATCAAGAGGATGGTGGCGGACGGAGCCGAGCCAAGCGTCAACTGCTACAACGCAGTCGTGGACGCCTGCGCCACGGCGAACGACAGCGCCCGAGCCTCGCACTGGGTCGAGCGTATGATCGAGGACGGCGTGTGCCCAACACTGCGGACCTTCAACATCCTGATCGGTGTGCTCGCGAGGAGCGGCGACACGGGCAAGGCCGACGCTTGGCTGCACAGGATGACGGACTTCGGGGTGAAGCCCGACGTGGTGACGTATGTCCCGATCTTCAGCGCGTGCAGTAAGGCCGCGGACGTCAGTAGGGCGAAAGCAACCTTTGAGCACATGTGCGCGCAGCAGGTGGCGCCGAACAATAACGTGTTCAACCTCCTCGTCGGCCTCCACGGCCGCGCCAACGACGCATGCGGGGCGGCGCGGTGGCTGCGCATCATGCGCGAGGCTGGTTTCCAGGCCGACCGCATCACGTTTATCACGGCGGCGAAGGCGCTGCCCCGCAACGACGACGTGCCGGGGGCGGAGGCCATCTTCAAGGAGATGATCGCATGCAAGCTGGACCCAGACGTTGTGGCGTACAACATGATCATAACGACCTGTGCCCGCGCCGGCGACCTGGAGAGGGCCACGGGCTGGTTCCACCAGATGGTGGAGAGGGGCCTGCGGCCGGACACCGTCAGCTACAGCTCGGTGGTCAATGCCTGCGCGAAGGCGAACGACGCGGACCGCGCGGAAGAGTGGCTGAGCAAGATGATCGCCGACGGCGTGGAGGCCAACGCGATCTGCTACAACCAGGTCATCCACGCCTGTGTCCGCAGCGGCGACGCCCACCGCGCCGCGCTCTGGATCGAACGGATGACCGAGCGCGGCGTGTCGCCTACCGTGCGCAGCTTCAACACCATGATCAGCATGCACGTCAAGGCGGGCAACATGCCTGAGGCCGAAAGGTGGTTCGACAAGATGGTGTCGTCCGGCCTGGAGCCGGACGTTGTGAGCTACAACACCGTCATCGCGGCCTGCGCGAAGAGCGCGGACGTCCCCCGTGCCGAGAAGTGGTTCTCGAGGATGGCACCCTCCGGGCTCTCGCCCGACGTCACCAGCTACAACGCCGTCGTGGACGCCTGCGTGCGCGCGGGCGACGCAGAGCGGGCCGAGGCATGGTTCGAGCACATGGTGACCTCCGGCCTGCGCCCAGACACTGTCAGCTACACCACCGTGGTGCACGCCCACGCCAAGGCCGGCCGCATCGACCGGGGCGAGGCCTGGCTGCTGCGCATGGACCGCGACGGGGTGCCCCCCACCGTCCCCACGTTCAACGCCCTCATCGGCGCGTGCCACCGCGCCGGCGACTCGGCCCGCAGCTCGCGGCTGGTGGCGGAGATGCGGCGCAGAGGGCTGGAGCCCGACGGCGCCACGCCCGGCCCGCGGGGTGAGGGCCCGGCGAGGTCGGCCCGCGTGCAGGCGGGCTGGAGGCGCTGAGGCGGCTTTGAGAGCTGCGGGCGGGCCGTCTGTGGTCTGCCGGGCCGCTGTGGGCTCCTGCTCCCGCGAGCACACGCCTCGAGGGGGGTGGGAGAGCTCTGGCCCCCGATGCAGGAGAGCCAACCCCGGCGCAGCCGCGCAGGCAAGGCCGTCCTGCAGGTCGCAAGATGGCGGTGGCGATGGTGACGACCGCGACGCCAACGACGATGGCAACGGCAGTGGTGATGACGGTGATGATGGTGATGCCGATGGTGATGACACTGGTGATGGAGACGATACGACGTCGACGACAAGAATGGGGATAATGATGAAGTTGATGGTGATGACACTTACGGTTGCAACGGCGACGCTGGTGGTGGTGGTGCTGCTGCTGCTGTGATGATGATGATGAGGAGGAGGAGGAGGAGGAAGTGCCCGCGCGCAGTCATTTGACGAGGTCGGTGGCATCGACGATGACGGCGACGACGACGACGACGACGACGACGACGACGACGACGACGATGATGATGATGATGATGATGATGATGATGATGATGATGATGATGATGATGATGATGATGATAATGTTGATGTTGATGTTGATGGTGATGTTGATGGTGATGCTGATGATGATGGCCACGATAATGATGATGATGGTAACGATGGTGATGATGCTGATGATGGTGATGATGGTGATGATGATTGTAGTGATGACGACAATGATGGTGATGCTGATGATGATGATGATGATGATGCTGACCATGTTGATGATTGTGCTGCTGATGTTGATGATGATGCTGATGATGTGGTTGATGATGATGATGGTGGTGATGATGCTGATGCTGATGCTGATATTGCTGATTCTGATTTTTGTTATGATCATGGTTGTGGTGGTACTGATGATGATGATGATGGTTGTGGTGGTGATGATGCGTACGATGGTGATGATGATTACCACCCTGACGAAGACAACGGCAATGGTGATGTTTGTGATGATGATCATATCGTTATGATGAGTATGGTGCGGTATTGTGCGCCTGCAGAAGTCAAGCAGTTCTGACATATCCGTATTTGAAGCCATCAGGTGTTGGTGTGTGTGTGTGTGTGCTGATGACATGTTTGTTGAAATGGTTCGAACCCCAATGGTTCTGGAACTTTTTCGACGTGCGTGCGCGGAGGCGCGCGCATGACCCGCATTGTATGGCTTGACACAGTTGGCAGGTGCGCGATTGGGGTTGAACGGTTTTGACATGCTCGCGCGAGTGGGCCGCATTTCCCCATCTGATAAAACAGTTAAGCACCAATGGTTTCATCCGTAAGGGCTTCGCCCCTTGCCGCTGGCCCCCTCTCTATCATAACGGGATATCTCAGAGTCGGTTCGGTGCGTCTCGGCGCTGCCTTGGCGCATCTGGGAACGTCATGCGGGGGCGGATGGGAATCATCAGCGCATATTGAGACATTGGCGTTATCGAAGACGCCTACGGCGAATCACCGCCGCCCCCTGCCTTTTTAGAAGCGCCTATGTGGCCGAACGTTGAGGCCAGACCTGCCAAGCTATCGAGCCATGTGTTCCCCGAATCGTTTTGGAAAGCCTTCGGGGAAAACGTGGGCATCTTGAAGGTCATCTTGGCCGTCTGGAGGCCATGTTGACCCTTTCGGGCCTTCTTGGAGGACGTCTTGGAGGGCTCTTGGGCCGTCTTGGAGGCCATCTTGGGCCGCTTGGAGACCTCTCGGGCCGTCTTGGGGGCCTCTTGAGGCCGTGTCTTGGGCCTCTTGGGCGATCTTGGGGGACACTTGGGCCGTCTCGGGCCGACGGATGGCAGAAACAAAGCAAATGCCACAATCCTTCAAAAACCTATGGGAAATCAATGGTTTTGGCCTTTTCGGGCCTTCCTGGAGGCCCTCTTGGAGGCCTCTTGGGCCGTCTTGGGCCATCTGAGGGCCATGTTCGGCCGTCTTGGTGGGCTCCTGGTCCGTCTGATGCCGTCGGAAGGAATGCTCCAGGGCCGTCTTGGAGGCCCATCTTGGGCGTCTCAAAGGCCTCCTGTGCCGTCTTGGGGGCCTCTTGGGACCGTCTTGGGGCCCTCTTGGGCCGTTCTGGGGCCATCTTGGAGGTCTCTTGGGCGATCTTTCGGCGATCTTTGGAGGCACTTGGGCCGTCTCGGGCCGTCGGAAGGCAGAAAACACGCAAATGCCACAATCCTTCTAAAACCCATGGGAAATCTATGATTTTGGCCTTTTCGGGCCTTCCTGGAGGCCCTCTTGGGGGCCTCTTGGGTCGTCTTGGGCCAGCTTCGAGCCAACTTCGGCCATCTTGGTGGGTTCCTGGCACGTGTGACGCCGTCGGGAGCCGTCTTGGGGGCCTTTCTGGGCCGACTTGGGGCCCTCTTGGGGCGCTTCGAGGCTGTCTTGGAGGCCATCTTGGGCGTCTTGGAGGCCATCGGGCGTGTTGGAGGCCTCTTGGGCTGTCTTGGGGCCCTCTTGGGGCCGGCCACTTGGGCCGTCGTGGGGCCCTTTTGGGGGCCTCTTGGGCGATCTTGGGGGCCTCTTGGGCCGTCTTGGGCCGTCGGAAAGCCGAAAAGGCGCAAATGCCACAATCCTTCAAAAACCTTTCTGGGAAATCAATGATTTTGGCCCTTTCGGGTCTTCCTGGAGGACGTCTTGGAGGGCTCTTGGCCCGTCTTGGAGGCCTCTTGCGGGCCTGTTGGGCCGTCGTAGACCGTCTTGGGTACATCTTGGGCCGTCTTGGAGGCATCTTGGGGCCATCTTAGCCGTCTTGGAGGCATCTTGGAGGCAATCTTGGGCCGTCTTGGAGACGTCTTGGAGACCATCCTGGGCCATTTTGACCGTCTTGGACGCCATCTTGGACCAACTGGAGGAAACAGAGGCACGACGGATGCGTTTTGAGCGCCTTTCTGGGTGGCCGGCGGGACGGGTCGGAGCCCCAGGGGGAGTTCTTTTTTGGAAAAATAACCAAAACCAAAAGCCATATAGTCTGGCACGCCGGGCACCCCTTTGATAAATCAAAAGGGGGCGGCGGATAGAAGACGCCTACGGCGAATCACCGCCGCCCCCTGCCTTTTTAGAAGCGCCTATGTGGCCGAACGTTGAGGCCAGACCTGCCAAGCTATCGGACCATGTGTTCCCCGAATCGGTTTGGAAAGCCTTCGGGGAACACGTGGGCATCTTGAAGGTCATCTTGGCCGTCTCGAGGCCATGTTGACCCTTTCGGGCCTTCCTGGAGGACGTCTTGGAGGGCTCTTGGGCCGTCTTGGAGGCCATCTTGGGCCGTCTTGGGGGCCTCTTAGGGCCTTGTCTTGGGCCTCTTAGGCGATCTTTGGGGGCACTTGGGCCGTCTCGGGCCGTCGAAAGGCTGAAAAAACGCAAATGCCACAATCCTTCTAAAACCCATGGGAAATCTATGATTTTGGCCTTTTCGGGCCGTCTTCGAGGCCTCTTGCGGTCCATGTTCGGCCGTCTTGGTGGGCTCCTGGTCCGTCTGACGCCGTCGGAAGCCGTTTATGGGCCGACTTGGGGCCTCCAGATTGGTCGGGGTGGAGTTCCGCGGGGGGCCATGTGTGGGCGTGTTGCCGGATGGGGGTCCCCGCTCGAACGAGGGCCCCCTCGGGGTCCGACCACCCGCACCCATGCCTGTGACGTCTTTCTCCTCCTGCCCTTCCCCACTTTACTCCTTCCCACACGTTCCCCAATCAGTGCTTGCACTGAAGGGGTCCTAGCGGAGGTTGAAAGATTTGGCGAAAGTTTCCCGCCGATTTTGGTAGCAGGCTGGGTCCCTGGGTTCCGGGTTCCGGGTTCCCGGGTTCCCGGTTATTGGTTCCGGGCCGATTTCGGTGGGTTTTGGGTTCCCGGGCTCCCGGGTTCCCGGTCGATCTCTTCAGCAAAAACCATCCATTGATTAGGTTTTTCCTCCAGTGTAATTATCTTCCTGCCCTTCCCCATTACTCCTTCCCACAGGTTTGAGTGTGCGGTGCTTTTTATCGAGGTGTTCCTCTCTCCTCCTCTTCCTTTTACCTTCTGCGGGTTGTGCGGTCCTGGGCCGCCCATCGCCCACTCAACGTGTTTGCTGGTTGCACTGGGGCCCTCGAGGGTCTCCACAAGAGTTTCCCCAAGCAGCTGCAGGTGCGTAGAAGAGCAAGCCGCCTCAGCAAGCTGCCTTTCAACGGGGTGAAGAGCTGGACATCCGGGCCTTTTGAACAGGATCTGTCCACTGAGTTGAGACCTGTATGCGGTCAGTGTTCAGCCTGATGTAGCACACGGTTAAAGAAAGACCCCAGGCCGCTCTGGCCGCCTTTGCCGCGCTGCTGGTGTTCGTGGCGCCAGCATACAAGATCACCTGGCTGCAGATCCCCGCCTTCGCGGAGGAGCACCGGTCCGCCCGCCCGCGGGTTGACGCCGTCGTCGCCGCCATTGCCGTCGTCCAGGCCAGTGCCGCCGCCGTCGGCGTCGCCGTGGCCGCCATCGTCGCTGTGGTCGCTGTGGTCGTTCCCGTCGTCGTCCCCGTTATCGTCCTCATTGTTTTCGTCATCCTCGTCGACGTCGTCGAATATTTGATCTATGGACACGGCTTCGGGCGCTCTCGTCCCGACGCCAGCCGCAGTCTCTTTGAAGCCGATGCACCCGCGCGAGTGCGGGTTTGGTGCCAAATTTGCCCCCCGAAGGCCGAACTACGACGACAACGGCGTCCGCTCGATACTTCCTTTGCGCTCACCCCAGGACGCCCTGGCCAGAGCGGCCCACGCCACTCGGGAACGGCGCTCTTGCTGGAGTCTTTCTTGCAAGTCTTCAAGTTTTGTACAGGCTTGGCTGCGACGACAACGGCTCACGCTCGATTATTCTTCGTAATGTCTCCCAAGACGCCAGGGTTGGGTCACACGGCACCGTGCCTCACGACTGCGGTGGATTGCTGGTTCTACGGTCGGCACCTGCAGACCCAACGCCGAGGGAACGGTTGATGATATCCATCAGTGAGTGACGTCATCGCATTGTGGGTGCCGTCAGAT